GGCAAGAGGTAGCGCAACAAGGCCATGCAAGGCCATCGAGGGTTGGGGGGTGGGGTCTGGGGGGAAGGGATGGGGGGATGTGGTGCCCTATGGAGCAGAAGCGTGACGAGTTTCGCCTTTTTGGCCGCTTTCGACCCCTTGCCGACTGGCGACGATCGGGCTCTTGCCGTGCCCGTTGCGACTCGAACCTTCTTGCATCGCCGAGCATTGCCGGGTCGATGCTGCGCCCTGTTCTGCAGCTCCCTGCCGCGTCCCTTGCTCCCTCCCTCCCTCGTTGGCGGCGCGTGCGAGGGCGGTGGCGCGGGGGAGCGGCCCTCCAAGACGCGGGGGCTCAGTCGGCGGCGAGTCCGGGGGGGAGGCGAGCAGGGCCGGGCCTCCTCGGAAGGCTCGGCAGCTCGGCAGCCCCCAAGCCTCCTGACAAGTTTCCCGAGCCCACCCCTGGGGACGCCGAAAACTTCTCGGAGGGCCAGAGCGCGTCTGAGAAGCTCCGCCGCCCTCCGAGAGGGCCTTCCTCTCCTTCTCGCCTCCCCCCTCGCTCGCCGCCGATCCGCAGGAGCCCCCCTCCTCGTTCTCCCCGTCGTGCCTTGCACGGTTTCCCCCAGGGCCGTAGGCGACCCGAGGAGGAGGAGGAGGAGGAGGAGGAGGAGGAGGAGGAGGAGGAGGAGGAGGAGGGGGAGGAGGAGGAGGAGGAGGAGGAGGAGGAGGAGGAGGAGGAGGAGGAGGAGGAGGAGGAGGAGGAGGAGGACGGGTCGCCCAAGCCGTTCGGAGAAGCCCTCCATCGTGCCTCCCCGCGCCAGTGACCCTCGAGGCGCTGCTGGGCCGGTGCGCGGCGCCTCGCCCGCCGAGACGCTGGCCGGCCTGCCGGCGGCGGTGCCCAGCCGCATCTTGCGCCGCCCCTCCCGGGTGCAGCCGACGGCGGGCCACGCAGCGGCCCAGACCGCGGGCGTCCCGAAGAAGTCGAGGCGGAGGTTTTTCATAGTTTTTGGCCTCTCGGGGCCCTCGCCGGGCCTCGGGACCGTCAAAAAACGACTCGGGATGAGAAACCGGTCCCAGGGAAGTGGTCGGGAGATCGGGGGCCCGCGTCTCGAAAAACTCGAGACGTCGGATGTCTGGGGAGGCCCCAGGCGGGGCGAGTAGTTTGTGCGCAACGGGGAGGGATCGTTGGGAGGGATTCGTGTGTCAGGTGTGGCGCGCGCGCGGCGAGCTTGCCGCCTCCGAGTCTCTCTCTCTTTCCCCGTCCCCCTCGTCCTCTCTCCTTACCTCCCCCCCCTCCCCATCCCTTGCCCTCCTTCCTTCTCTTCTCTTCCTTCGCCGCCCCCCCACTCCCAGAAAACGACCTCCGAAGAGCGCCTGTGTGAAGGGGCTTCCACGGGCGACGGGTGCTGAGATTCTGGAACTTCAGACGCTCTGGAAAACACCTTTGCAGTGTGGAGTGCGTTTCTCCATTGACGCCAGAAGAACTGAGCAAGCTCGATCCGACATCAATGTAAACTGGCGTCTGAGCGTTGAATCATCATAGAAAAACGGACCCGGGATCCGCGCGCATTTGATGGAACCAATCTCTCACATTTCCAACCGACAAGCCGAAACATTCACACGTGCGAGCTTACGTGGGGAACACATGGTGCGTATACTCTATGGGCGGCGCTGCAAGTCAGAATGCTGCAGAGCTGCACGCGTGCAGAACTCAGAAAGTGAAGGCCTCACTCCTCCCTCCCCTCCTCCTCCTCCTCCTCCTCCTCCTCCTCCTCCTCCTCCTCCTCCTCCTCCATCTCCTCCTCCTCCTCCTCCTCCTCCTCCTCCTCCTCCTCCTCCTCCTCCCAATGTACCCGTCTTTGGCTGTCTTGGAACCGTCACTGGGCGTGCCGGGGCCATCTAGGGATCTTCGCCCCTGGATGAGAAGAGGCCCCCAGGGCGGCCCAAGGCAGCTCCTAAGATGCCCCCCCCCCTCCGGCGGGCCGACGAGAGGGCCTCAAGGGGGTCCCCAGAGGGCCCCAACAGAGCCCAGCTTAGAAGGCCCCGAGGTCATGACGTACCACGGGCCAGTCACAACACTCGAGGTCCAATGCCAATGGCCCCCGGGAGACTTCCAGAGAGCCCCTCTTCTCTCTCTTCTCTTCTCTCCCCCTTGCCCTCTCTTCCTTCGGAGGGTTCTACCAGGGATTCCTTGAAGGCAGAAGGACTTGCAAGAATCCCGCTGCCTTCTGATAAGGCCGTCCCCCCATCCTCACGGCACCACCCCTCAGCGTGCCGCTGATTGTGGTCTTGGGCGGCTACTTCATGCCATCTGCGTTCTTTGGGTGGCTGTTTTGGTCTTGGCGCATGTCCGCCATGTGGGCGAAGGCTCGTGGTCCCCGCTGGCTTGGTGGTTCTTCGTGGTCTGAAATTGCTGTGCAATGTCTCGGCGGTTGTTCGTGGTCTCCATGTCTGGCAACGGCCTGGATAACCGTTCGTTGCCTTTCTTGGCTTGGTCGTTGCTCGTTGCTTGCTGGGTGGACGTTCGAGGCTTGTGGCTGGCCATTCTCGTACCTGGAAGGTGATGACTCTGGCTCTTCTTTGCCTGAGGTGGCAACCCGTGGTCTTTCTTCGACGCCTGGTGTTCGCTACCTTGGTGGCCCATCGCGGAATCGGCGGCTCACCGCTGTTTGGAGAGGCCATTCGTGGTCTCGGGAGGCTCAGTCGCGGCTGCTCTGCGTCAAGGGTCAGGGGTGGCTGCTCGTGGCTTGGGCTGCAATTCGCGCTTCGGTTGGCTACCCGCGGGCGTCGCTTGCCCGTCGGAGTCTCCGAAGCTGGTCCGGGCCTTGGAGGCCCGCAGCGCCCTGGCTTGTCGCCGCGCGGGCGGGGGGAGCCACTGAGGCGCGCCGCGGCGCTGGCTGCGCCTCGGCCCGCTGCTGCGCGCGAGCGAGAGCCCCGCGTCGCGGCGCCCGCGTGGAGGTCTGGGCCGGCTCCGCGCTCGGGTGGCTCCTCGCGGTCCTGCTGGCGGGTCGCTGGCCTGGACGGCCTGTCACCCCGACCCGACCCCCCAGACTCCCGACGTAATGATTTTTTCATTACGTCGACCTCCAGTGGTCCCGACCCTTTCCCCATGACCGGCTTTGCGTCCTGAGTCGTTTTTTGACGCTCCCGAGGCCCGGTAAGGGCCCCCAGAGGCCGAAAATTAGGAAGAACCTCCCGTCGTGATTTTTTCATTACTCGAGGGGATCTGGGCCCGTCGGCTGCTCGGCCACCCCGAGGCGCAGCAGGCAGCCCGCGGCGTGCCGACACGGAGCTCCGCACGCAGAGCGCACGCGTGCGCTCGGGCGCGGCACGCTCGCCACAGAGCGCGAGCCACCGCGTCGAGCTGACACGCAGAGCGCGCTGGCGCGGACGTCCTGAGCGGGGCACGTGCTGCGCTTCGAGACTCGGGGTCGGCCCAGATAGGGCGACGAGATCTATGCATATCCACTGCTCCTGGCCAGGCCCATCCTGGGCCCAGGAGCTGTATATATGCCTCCCTGGCCAGGCCAGGAGGGCGTATGCACCGCTCCTGGGCCCAGGATTGGCCTGGCCAGGAGCAGTGGATATGCATAGATCTCGTCGCCCTACCAGAGGGGGGTGTCCAAGAGGGGGCGGCGCAACTCATGGCCGGCGGCATGTGCGCGGCCCAGGGGGAAGTGGGGGTGGGGGCAGGGACGTGCACAAACAAGAAGGGGCGCCATGAGACCTGAGGACACACCATGGCCCACGCCATGGTGTCCACCTTCCCGCTACCCCTGATCTCGGCGGTGGACAGACCTCCCTTTAGTAAACCACCCTTCAGTGAAAACGGCCTAGGACCGAACCCGACGGACCTGGACCCGCGAAAAGGACGGCCGCGACGCCCTCTCGCGAACCGAAAACGGCCAATTCGCTAATCGACGTGTCAGGGTAGGAGGTCTATCATAGGGGAACGAAACATGACATCAACATAAAAACTCAGAGGTCCGCGCGGATTTCTCGGATCGGCGCTGGAGCCCCCTCCCTGGCGCGCGGAGCTCGCCAGGGGCGGCGCCGGAGGCGCCGCCAGGGGTGTCCAGCGCGGAGCCGAGAACTCCGCGCGGGCCTCCGAGCTTTTCTGTTTGCTTGTGTCCTCCCCTCTGTCAGCCTCCGGTAGCCCATTCCCCCCCCCTTCGCCACCGCTCGGACGTCCCTCCCCCGTGCATTTCTCGATCTCGTGCGTGCTTTTTCCGCTGAATCGTCAAAGATGCTCCTCGATCCCAGACCCCCGACGTAATGTTTTTTCATTACGTCGACCCCCAGAGGTCCCGACCCTTTCCCCTGGACCGGCTTTGCGTCCCGAGTCGTTTTTTGACGCTCCCGAGGCCCGGTGAGGGCCGCCGGAGGCCGAAAATTAGGAAAAACCTCCCGTCGTGATTTTTTCACTACTCGAGGGGTCTGGGATGGTCCTCGCCGAGGAAAAAAATGCACACGTTCGAGCGACGCCAGGCCCCTCTTGGCCGCCCCCGAAGCGCGGGCGTGCCGGGGCAGCCGCGGCCCCCGGGGCCTCTGCCGGCCCGCCCGGCCCCGCCCCGCCCGGCCGCAGGGCCGCCCGCCGCGGGCCCCGCCCGCCCGGCCGCAGGGCCGCCCCGCTCGCGCGGGGCGTCCTCCCGACCTGGCCCTCTCCTCCCCCCCTCCCCAGACCCCCTCGAGTAATGAAAAAATCACGACGTGAGGTTTTTCCGACTTTTCGGCCTCCGGGGGCCCTCGCCGGGCCTCGGGAGCGTCAAAAAACGACTCAGGATGCAAAGCCGGTCATGGGGACCGGGTCGGCACCTCTGGGGGTCGACGTAATGAAAAAATCATTACGTCGGGGGTCTGGGTCCTTTTCCCCCTCTCCCCGTCGGCCGCCTCTCTCTCTCTCTCTCTCTCTCCGGCCCTCTGCTTCTCTCCGTCCCTCTCTCTCTCGCTCTCGCTCTCTCCCCCCCTCGCCCTCTCTGCCCTGCTCCTCTCCTTCCCCGCCTCCCCCCCCCCGTGGCCTGCTCCCTTCCCCCCGCGGCGCCCCTGTCGAGACGCGACGCCGCTTGGCGCACCCCTGCATGCCAGGAAACATGCCGCCGTGTGCACGCGCCGCGTGGTCGGCACCCTCGCTCGCGTAGGCGCGCCAGGTGTAGGGCACGCGTCCGCTTGCCCACGGGCAGCTGACTGCCTTGGGCCACTCGGCGCCCGCGGCCTTCCAAAGTGCACGGTGGGGGGGCCTTGGACAAGCAACCCTTAGGTAAGGAATCCAGGGCCTGGGCGATGGTGGAACTCCAATCGAGGCTTGGCCATGGATATCCCCGCCGCCCTCAGCAGACAAGGAATCCTCCAGGGTCTGCAGCCTCCTGGGCACATTCCTTAACCAACGCCCCCACCGTATGCATGCAAACGTACGCGCGGTCCTGGTAATGTGGCGAGCTCTGGAACCCCTGACCCCCAAACATGTGTCACCCCTACCGCTTGAAAGGCCGACGCTTACTTCCGCCGGCGTCCGCTGGCCATCCACCGCCTTCCGGCAGCCTTCCGCCGAGAGAGAGGTGCCAACTCCTTCGACTCTCGAAGGCGGGCCCTTTCTGGAGCGCCCCATGTGGTGCATCCACTCGCGCCACCTATGCGCACATGTTGGCTTGTTTGCTCGAGTGATCAGAAGGGGGCGTGCCAGAAGAGGGGCTGGAGCAGGAACATCGCCCGGCAGCTGGTCGCCAGGCTCAGCCGACCTTCACGTAATCCGACTCTTGCATCCAGCAACCGCCAACTGTACAGCCTGGGCGGTCGGGGAGAACTTGTCTTGACGGCAACGATGACACCCCATGAACCGATGCCAAATCTCTGAACAAGAAAACGGGGAATCGGCAAACTGTCCTGCCGCAGGACCGTCATCGCCCTTTCCCCAAGGCGAAACGAAAAACCTGGTGCGGAAGAGACGGAAGGCGGAGGGACGAGATGGGAGAGGGCCAGTGTGGTGTGTGAACGAGGTGGGGGGGCTTGCTCATAAGAAGAGCCACGTCGTATTGCGGTCACTGCTCTGCTCTCGTTGCTCGATGTTTCTGCATGTTCGACCTGGGGATGGGTCTTCCGCTGCTTAGGGTGGTAATCTGAGGGCGAGGAGTAATGAGAACTTGAAAATGCAACGTGCGATCCATTCCAAAGTTCTCAACATCCAACGGTCCAGATGATGTGTACCTAGGAGGCCACTGCGCACTACGTACGAACATTCAACTACACCTTAATCTGCGTCGCGTGAAACTTCAAAACCGTTGGCCGTACAACATTCGACGAAACGCCAATCCCACAAACCAGCGTGTTGCGGTTGGACGCGTGGCGTTCACAAAGGCTTTCAACTTTGCGTTTCGCGCTGCGCGAAGCGCGAAGTGCGAATAACTTGGCGCTCTCGCGCCTTCTCCCAGGGGAGAGGAGGAGGATGAGGAGGAATCGGAGCCGAACCGCGAGGCGCGAATAACTTCGCGCCCTCGATGGCGCCCTTGGTTCACGACCATGAGCGTGCACTCAGGGTATTACTAAAACAAGTGGGAGAAAGCCGAGACCCTACCATGCCTGTAACCTTTGAAACTTGGGTTCCAGATTCGCCAAGTTCGAGCTGCCAAAGTGGCGTGGAGGGTACGGGAACGGCGGGTTGGGAGGGGCACACGGGAGAGGGGCGCGACACAAACAGAGAGCAGAACGCGGAAAATGGCAAGAACATAAGCACGGATGAAAAGAGGGAGGTTGGTAAGCCCGGCACGTATACGCTTCGCATCTTGGCTGCCCCCATGCTCGTTCGAATCTCCCTCAACACAGCTTGTGCCGCTTCTAGTTTTCACACATCGATGCTTCTCGTTGTCTGCTTGCTGAGATCGCTGCGTCGACCCAACTCCACATGGTTAGATGCACGCATTTCCGCCCTGCTCTTTTCCAACCTTTGTTTTGTTGGTCACACTTCCCTCTACCTCGCCAATCTCGGTTGTACATTCTCTGCCGTCCCTGTTGCTCTCCACCTCGGCAGCCCATGCGGCGCTGCCCACAACCGCTTCCGTAGCAAGCGCCCAAGTATGCTCAAGATTTGTGCTGCCAATCTCTACCGTGCCATTGTCCACATGTGTTGTTGCTTCTGCCTCTCTCTCTCTCGTTCTTTATGATGTGTCTGTATGCCCCTCCTCTCTCATTCTTTGTGTCTTCGTCTTCGTCTCTCTCTCTCTCTATCTCTCTCTCTCCCTCCCTATCTACCTTTATCGCTTGTGTGGGGGGATCACGGGTCAGAATCTGCTCCCTCCCTATTCCCTTGTCGATAGCAACCCTAGCCCATGCGCCTCACGACACATACCAGGTCGGCGGGACCAGCCGAAGCGCCTTCACTACATGAACATATATGTATACACATACATTTATATACACACTTGTATCGCTTGCTCTTCTGGCTTTCGATGCTACTTCTCCGACAAAGGTCAACGAGCCTCGTGCGCAGACGCCTTCACCATCCCAACCACATGGGTATTGAGTGTCTAAGTC